TTCTGGTCGATCTTGGGGAGATGCTTCATCAGGCACATGACGACGGGTCTGAAAAAATAGGATGCGAAGCCATATCTTATCGAGTTTTTGTTTATAAACCCCCGAGATAGATCTTGGGCAGATGTTTCACGAGGCACATGACGACTGGGAAAATGGGATGCGAAGTCGTTACTTCTCACTGTGTGTGTGTGTGGTGGGGGGGGGTGTAACTTTGTGATGTATTGCGTTGTACTGTAGGATGATTCACTTACTGCTATATGTAAATTTCTGGTCGATATTGGGGAGATGCTTCGTGAGGCACATGACGACCCGTCTGGGAAATGGTACGAAAAGTCAGAAATTTTGTTTGTATATACCCGCGATATAGATCTTGGAAAGGTGGTTCACCATACACGACAACAGGTCTGGAAAATTGGATGCGAAGATGTAGCTTAGAGTATTCTTGTTTGCGTATAATGATAACTGAAATGTCTCTGAGATTTCTGGTCCATCATTTAGAAAGGTGTTTCATCAGGCACATGACGAATGACAGGTCTGGAAAATAGGATGCGAAGATGTAACTTCTCGGCGTGGGGGTGTAACCTTGTGCTGTGTATAAGAATGTTGCATTGTATTGTGTACGTAACTTTGCATCAGCTATATGTAAATTTCTGGTCGATCTTGGGGAGGTGTTTCATGAGGCACATGACGACGGGTCATAAAGTCGTAACTTCTCGCTGTAGGGGTGTAACTTTGTGCTGTGCTGCATTGTATTGTAGGGTTTACTGGTGTATGTCATCTTCTGGTCGATCCTTGGGATGTGTTTCATCAGGCTCATGACGAAGGACAGGTCTGGGAATGTGAGGAGAACAGGTAGCTTATGGAATTTTTATTTGTATATATACTCCTGACATAGACCTTGGAAATATGGTTCTTCATGCACGTGATGACAGGCCTAAAAAGTAAAAGACAATGCGCAACATGGAATTGGATCTAGCAATCGGAACCATAACCTGAAGATACTTGTATTTAAATTATGTGCAATAAGGATTTAGTAAATAAAAATATATAAGATACAAAACTCCTTTATTACCAAATAACCATCTTCCATCACAAAAACTTGTTGAATAAGTGAATGAATGAGGTACCTTAATGATTTCACACGTATTGCTAATTAATTAATATTAATTAATCGTAATTAATAACGAACCTTAATGATTTCACACGTATTGCTGGGAAACTCCGGTCAAGAACTTCCTTTAGTCGTTTGTATTTATCTTTCGTGTCACTTGTTGCCAGTTCCGAAACCCTGATTAAAGAGAAAATCTTATCAACTATTCATTTTCTGCACATCATTATATATATAATAATTATATATATATATAGTATATATATAATATACCAAGGCTCGACACTAATTTTTTTTTCAGTGGCCCGGATTCGGGAGCCACCAAAATCATGAATTTTCAATCTTTTGGTGCGCCGAAATGAAAATCTGGCTGGCCCCGCAAGAAAAAAAGAACAAAGAAAAACATTATAAATCTTTATTTCAATCTCGTTATTGTATAGTTATTTGCGCACAAATTGGGCCGTCTTGATGCACTTGCACAAGTTCTTTAAACAAACCCACACAATGGGCACACACTGACATTGATTATTGGAGCGCGAACATTTGAATTATCCATTCCACGGCATCAAATTTTCACCAGAATCTTGCCATACATTTTTTACTTCACTCCGTATTTATTAAACACGCGCGTGTACAGGCTAGTCGATCAGTTCAGACGTTCAAAGAAGATCAAAGTCACAGAGCATAGCAAATATTATAAAAACAAGTAACTGCCTTTTTTTATATTAATAAAACAACAAACAACATTGGTTTTCATGTTAAAATAAACATGATAGCATTTAATCTCATGAAATGTTAAAATGTCTGGCAGGCTTTTGCAAACTGGTAAAAAATAAAATATGATGCAGATTTTAATAAGATAAAGTTAGAACCAGTAATGTATATCAACAAAGTAGGCTGGGGTACGCTCATGCATTTCAAAAGAAAAAGCGAGCCATGTCTAAGGGTTCAATATGTTCGGTTGTTAAAGAGACAGAACGAAAATTGCATAACATAAACTGTACAAAGCCGAGCTAATATTACACTTCGGCATTTAAAATATCGTGATATCTTTCCATCTGGAATAGCTTCTAGGTTATTCTACCGCGAACGTTTCGAGCATGCTGGCCAGTTTGCGCTTCGGATCCGAAACATGGAGCACCAGTGCCAGGCTAGCTAGCAAATCAGGCGCCGGTGCACCAGACGTTCCCGCTATTTTTGCCCATGCTGTCCCGGTTCCCGCTACCGAAACCCTTCCCCGGGACGCGATGTGTGCTCCCGTATTTTTTAACCATTTTTACACAACGTACATCAGAAAAAGGTCCAAGAAATTGTCAATCAGTTTTTTTATTTATGACAATGGTTTCGCCCTTCGAACTTCTCATCGCTCGCGTTTCATTTTACACACCGCTTCATTTTACTACGTTCCATTACACCGACGCCTCCACAGTCACTGCCCAGAGCAGGCGTATTGTCTAGCACGCATTGTTGCCGTCTCGCTTGCATACAATGTAATCACACGTATGCTGACGCCGCTTGCCACAACTAATGCTATGGCCTGGCCGCCGGCTCAGATTCTTGACCCTCTGGCTAGACTGGTTCGCGTGTACTACCCGAACTGTTCGCGTAGAGCGATGTACATTGTCTTAGCAGAGCGGTTGAGGACCGGATAACCGAATGTATAATTACCAATATACGTGGCCTTGTTGCAGCCGCAGTTAGACGGATAAACCGTGCGCCCGTGGATGGCGCCGCGGTTAGATATGCTGCCACGTGCATACGTGTGCCCTCGCTCCGCGAATTGCTCGCTCTCTTTTGAATGAGATTAGCACGTAAGAAACAATTATTTTTATCACATAGTCAGACACTTTGAAATTTTAGTGGCCCGATCGGGCCACCAAATTTTAACTTTTGGAAATTTTGGTGGCCCGACATCAAGTTTTGGTGGCCCCGGGCCACCGGGCCACCGCTAGTGTCGAGCCTTGATATATACATATATATACAAATAATCAAATACATAAAATGCATCTGGATTTCCGTAGGAACTACTGGTGCTTGCAAATGAAGCATTTTTTTTACCTGATAATGATATATGAATTGTTTCTTCCCCTGCTATTTAGCAGGGTACCTTTGAGATGTATCCACTCATTTTAGCACGTAGGCACAATTATTTGGTTAGCAGTTTTAGCACACCGGATTAGCTTCACATATATGTGCTAACACATATATGCGATTTCAAACACATTTGCAGGGTCCCAAACTATCCTTGATCCAAAAACAGACCTCTGAATCAGCTTGTCCCGCAGTTCGTCCATGACGGATTCATGAAACTCCAGCCGCCGCACACAGTGAAGGTCGAGAAAAGGCAGCGCCGGTCGCAAGGACGGGAGCAAGATCCCATTCTCCATCTACGCACAACAATGTCATACTAGGTACATCTGCTGTGGATTAATGCTGCTGTGTCACCATACTAAATACTAGTACTCATATGTAATGTGTGCATATGTAGGGTATCATATCGGTGTTACTTTCCCCCGGGCGTAGAGGGGCTCATAAGGTCTATGTCCCACAGGGTACTGCCGGAACAGACCCTGGGTACAGTCCGGTATACCGAAACGTACCCTGATAACTATTTGATATGGTTAGGGTTTGGGTTCGGGTTCGGGTTAGGGAGTAGGCGTAGGCGAGATACGGTCCGGCATATTTAGATAGTACCAGGGTACGTTCCGGCAGTACCCTGGGGGACATAGACCCTCTCAGCCGTAGAGGGAGGGTGTCGCTACGTGGCAGTGCTTGCTCACTAGTGTTAGGATTAGGGTTAGAGTTAGGGTTAGGGTTAAGGTTAGGGAAATAAGGCCATGTCTAGCATGGAAGTATGACTGTTGAATGACGGAAGTGTACGAAGACTAAGTGACTAGTGCTGCCACGTAGCGGCACCCTCGCTCTACGCCCGGGGGAAAGTGACACCCGTATCATATTTGTAAGATAATAATATATGATGGCCCCTGATGACGATTTTGAGCCTGAGGTAAAAAACAGGATACACCCCCTTTCAGCCTAACCATAAATTATTATTATTATTATTATTATTAAAAAAATCTGATAAATGCAATGCCAATACATAGTGTTGAGTAAACCGACCAGGCTCTCCGACTGTTACACGTCGTACGCCAACGTAGTGTTAAGCGAAAAGGGAACTTGTGGCTAAGTGTTGAGCAGCTAAAATTAATTAAATTACAGAACGAAGCGAGTCTGCAGTAAAAGGGAGTACAGGGTGTAACACTAACACTGCCAATGTCAATAATAACAACAACAATATCAATAACACTAACAAGTATCCGTACTACTATTAGTTACAGTATTACTATTAAATAGTATTAATTAGTTACAGTGTCAGTTATGACACTATAGTCACAGTCACTAACAGTAACACTAACAGTAACACTAACACTAACACTAACAGTAACAGTGCCAGTGGTAACACAGCAAGTGAAGTGGTAAAAATCATACTTGGAAGTCTTCGATAAATTTCAAAGGATCAGTGCAGTTAGTCAAGGCCTCACGCAGATGATCACTGGCTGGAATCCCCAGCTCTTGCAATGCAGACATTGTATCTATATATTGTGTTTAATGATTAAAATGGTCAAAGCGTCGGTAGTGACAATATAGACACAACCTTTCAATCGCCGCCATGTACAGTAACTGAGTAAGTTGAGTTAACATAGCCTCGTTTTCGAGCGACCTGCGTATGATATTTTTATAAATGTTAATTTAATTTAATTTATATATGTAAATATGTGTTTTTAGCTATATTACTTTGTCTATATCTTCTCACTATATTACTTTATCTATTTTAATATTATATGTATTATATTGATTTATTGTATCGCATTTTCACTTATATATCGCATATAACCCCGAGAGATGGCACTATGATCAAGTCTTAGTTGACTGGCACTGATAAAATGGTGTATATATTTTCAGTATGGAAATTGCGAGATAGACTGGCTCTGATCATCGCATGCATCGCATGGTAAAGACGTAAAGTCCGTGTCAAAGTTTGATGTTTGACTTGTAGTGTTGACAGTGCGTTGTAGGGGGGCCTTGTCTGAGTGCTGTGAATAAACATTATTGTGATATTAATTAAGACAACATGGAGACGTTCGTAAAAGACTTCTTGTTAACAGAACAATGCTTTGATGAATTTTTCGTTAAAGCCAACTTTCTACATGGTAATGCAATTTTCCCACTAGTTGTACAGACTCACACAGTCACAGAGTCAGTCAGTGACAGTGTCATTGAGTCCGTGCACTCGATCGGCACTGACTCAACAAAGGTTTATGCGAATAATATTTAATAACATGGCATACCAACCAACCCCGTGAGCCATTAGTATGCCTAGGCTGTAGTTGCCTATCTTGAGCATCTCATTTTCTCTCTGTTCTGTAGACTAGTGTAGATTATAGAGTACTACTACTAGTGTAAATGAATTTTATGTTGGTGTACAGTCAGTCATTGACAGGTCAGCAATCGGATGCCTTCCTGTTGTGAAACGAAGGGGGTGAAGATACTTTAAACCTATCCCACATCCTCACACATCGCCTGTGGCTGTGTAGTCTACGTACAGTTACAATACGTCCTGAGAAAGGATATATTGCCGGTAGCTCTAGTACTATAGCCCGCGTACAGTTGCCGCAGGCCTGCTGCAACTGTACGCGGGCTATAGTACTAGAGCTATATTGCCGGGAGTTTTCTCGCACTATAACTTATGAGTTATGTGGCTTGCACACTTTATATATATATTATCCTATATCACGATATTTTATCCTTGCAGTGGCATGTCTGAAGATGCTCATTAGCAAATGCCTTGGATATCTGATTATTCTCGGAGCTGTCATAGGTAAATTATTCTCGTGTCTGTAATTGAATTAAAACAAATATATATTTGTTAGCAATATAAATCTAATGAGACATGATGCATGGTGGACATTGAGCACATGGAAAAAGTCCAACGAAGGGCCACCAAACTAGTATATGGGTTAAAAAACGTCAAGTACGAGGACCGGCTGAAGTTTTTAGGATTACAATTTTTACATACCAGAAGACTAAGAGGCGACCTAATAGAATCATACGAAATCATGACAGGAAAATATAAACTGAATCCAAACACTTTCTTTTGTCCAGCCTCAAAAACATCACTAAGAGGAAATAACATGAAACTATATAAACAACGGTCCAGACTCCAGGTGCGACAAAACTTTTTCAGCCAGAGAGTGGTGCAACCCTGGAATAAACTGCCACAAAGTGCAGTCGCAGCTACCACGACTAACGAATTTAAGGCCAGAATCGACCGATTCAGGAATTTAAATCGCCAGATATGGGTGCACATTAGGCTTGGCCTATTACAACCCATTATCCTTAACTAACTAACTAATGAATTAGGTAAAAATTAACACATATAGCATCTGTGTTTTTTGCCATATTAATGCACACTGAATTCTGGAATGCAATTCTCAGTACCTGAATTTATTACAAGTTCTGAAACTTTGTTGATGTTGTTTTCATAATTATTGGTAGTTTGACTGTTTTCTCTGCCATCTACTAAACACTGCCGTTTACTTGCAGTGAAACTGCCACAGATTATAAAGATTTGGAGTGCAAAAAGTGGAGAAGGTGTGAGCTTTCTGAGCCAGAGCTTAGAGCTAGCTGCTGTTACTGCTACAGTTTCATACAGTTTTGCCAACAAATTCCCGTTCAGGTTTGTATTGCTTCTAGATAACAGTAATTTAATCTGCGTGGCTGGAAATACAATCACATTTTATCACACTAAATGGGTAAATCCGTTCTTTGCCGTATCTCTAATGCTCTGTATAGGAAATATGCGACATTCCCTCTTCTCACTGGCTGTCTAACCATCTTGTGTTTCTTCTCTTGCAGTGCGTGGGGAGAAGGATTTTTCCTAATATTGCAGACTTGCACCATCTGTGTGCTAGTGCTACACTATGGAGGAAAGCTGGGTATTGCTGTGGTGTTCATGCTGGCATACAGTGCAGTTCTCAGTCTGATGTTGTCCGGCTTAGTACCTATCAACATCCTGTGGATATTCCAGTCGTGTAACATAGCCATAGTCATCGGCAGCAAGGTAAACCCACCGAACGATGCGTGTTTAAGATAATCATGTTTTTTAGATTATTATTATTATTATCAAGAGTCCATAATTGAAAATGCTTTTCTATTATGGACTCTTGTCATTATTAAATCTTAATTGCATGTAATTCAAATACAAATACATGTACTGAAGCAGAGCACGTATATCATATATATATATATATGTGCTCTGACTGAAGGCAGTCTTTTTCACGGATAAAACATCCGGAGGAGGTGACAGAGATGACCGTAATATCGCTGACACATAGGAGTGGTCCAGCTCGATCGTTTAACTTTTGTATGGCTTGGGCCACAATTAAAAAAATCTTTGTTTACCTTCACCCGACCCAGGCTAAAAAGTTTGGGTAGGTAGGTCGGCTTTTTTAGGGGGGTCTTTTTACAAATTCAGCATGGTACCTACATGCTCGGGTGTGCTTGTTGTGTGGAGATGCCTTTTATGTTGAATGTTTGGTTTGCTTGGTAAATATAATGTATTGCCTACAGATTTATATAATATACAGTGATACAATTGGTAAAAAAAAGGGAAAAAATGGGAAAGATCAATAAAAAAATTTGAGTCGGCCCCTTTTTGGCGGGTCAATTGGGTGAGCGCAAACAAACAATATTTTTAATATGGCCTTGGTCACGTGAGCATGAACATGTGTATACTGAGTACCTCATGTTACTTCATTCAGATATGAGTGTGCTGTGTTGAGCCTGTGTCTACCGCGCACACAGAAACATGATTGAGACTAGATAACTCAGCTGCACTGCAAATCAAATAAATCAGAATATCTAATTAGATACTTCTGTCACAGGCAAACGTCTTGCAGAATTCATCAGTACTTTTTTATTCATCGCTTACTTTTAACGTACTTCTCTTATTCATTTTCTCGCTGTTGATCGGTTTGCGTTTGTGTGTTTTTTTCAGCTTGTGCAGATATTGAGCAGTTACAACAATGGTGGGACGGGTCAGCTTTCCGTCATCACCTTCTCCCTGTTGTTCCTCGGCAGCATCGCGCGCATCTTCACCTCCATCCAGGAGACTGGAGATAACCTCATCATACTTATTTACGTGCTTGCGACGACGCTGAACGGCGTAATATTCGGCCAGGTTTTATATTACTGGAACGCGCCAGTGCCGTCTACAAAGACTAAAATCCAGTAATGGGATTTTGTGATTGTTAATATGGCAAGTGGTGCTGGGGGATGAAGCCATTTTTTCGAATCGCTACGCACAAATGTTGTTAAATAATTTACGTTTATTTGCTGTGAAGTTTTATCTTTGCTGTAATGATGTTCGAGTTGTTTTCGGCGTAAAACAACACTAGGTGGCAGCACATACACAATCACATTCCATGTATGTTACTTTGCTCTGCTTTCACGCATTGATCACCTTCCTAGCTGCTTGCATGTTTTTAATCCACAAGTTCAAATTAGAAGATGGCCTGTTCATTCATTACGTTTTATTATTATTTAAATATATCGCCAATTAAATCAATCATTTGTTATTAAACAAAATTGGAAGTGTAAACGTGATCATTAGTACGCGATAAAAAATATTACTACCAAAGTACCATGCACAAAATATTAATTGATTAAATATTATTTGTTATCTTATATCACAATTATAAATATAACTATCAGTAGTAGAGTGCCTGTTGATCTTTTCTGTTTTTGTTCATATATTGCTCTTCTTATTTTCCATTCTCAGTCAGAAATTCTAGAGTGCATGTTGCTCACTGGCCTTGTTTACAGAAGAGATATAAGGTCATAATTTGTTTAAACAAAGAAAAACTTACCATGAGACTTCAGACATAATATATGCTAAGAGTTATTAATGCTCGTGGCAAATACTGCAAAAACATTTCTTTTTACTTTTAGGCTAAGGAATCTAATCTAATGTAATCTAGTCATTGTGATGAAATGAAACGAAACGAATTCAAAGAGTGAAATAAACATTTTCGTGTGGAAATTAAGACATTTTCAGTAGTTTTGTTATAAAAGTCGATCATTTAAATAATTATAACGCTGCTATCCTACTTTTATGCTCTACTTTCATCCACTCTAATGAACTGTGGATGCTAATTATGAAACTAACAACTTCTTTTCGTGATTATTCGAATTTTAAATGTTATCTTAAACACTAGAAACTTTTTTTCGTGATTATTCGCATTTTAAATGTTATAATAAACACTAATAATCGCGCTCACGGATTTTCTATCGACATCTAATATATAAGTTCATGGGAAATTTACACAATCAGAGTGCGTGCTGAGGAAGCAAGATTCGCATTGACACGTCTGTGCAGGCTAAAGAAATAAATCATGAAAGTGACTCGATGCTACTGAGTTATAGTTACTGCTAGCTTCTACGATCAATCGCATCAGCACATTCACTAATCAACGGAGAAGCAGTACGACGGGCGGAGAGACGTAACAAGGTTGCTTGTATTTTTTACTCTATTCAGCTCGGCGGCATCGACCCTGCTCGGTAATGTCGATATTCCATAATCGCTTCCACCCGAAATGTAGCTTACTGTCCTACAGTAAATTCGCACGAGTTATACGGACGTAAGATGTCAATGCCGTACGGCTAGGCACGCAATGATAGATTGAAACTACTCTCGTTGAAAACTTCAGCGCCAATGTTTTGCTAGGGTACGGGGGCCCACACGTGTGATAGGTCCTTATATACATTTTTGCATTACTACACTACTAAATAAAAAAGTAAATAAATAAATAAATATAGTATATAAATAAATATAATTATACAATGTATGTGCGTGCGTACGTATAAATGTTTTTGCGTGCGTGAGTATATATCAATGTATGTGCGTGCGTATATCAATGTTTGTGCGTGCGTATGTATGTATGTAATGTAATGTATGTATGTATGTATGTATGTATTGTATGTATGTATGTGCGTGGGCGTGCGCTGGGCGTATTAATGTTTGTGCGTGCGGTGCTATCAATGTTTTGTGGCGTGGCGTGAAGTAATATTCAATGTATGTGCGTGCGTGCGTGCGTATCAATGTTTGTGCGTGCGTGAGTATATCAATGGGTTAAAAAAATGTGCGTGCGTGGTATATCATTTTGTGTGCAGTTCGTGCGTGGCGTATGTATGTATGTATGTATGATGTATGTTATGTAGTATGTATGTTGTATGTATGATATGTATGTATGTATGTATGTATGTAGTAGTATGTATCGTCTATGTATGTGTATGTATGTATGTGTATGTTATGTATCGTATGTATGTATCGTATGTATGTATGTAATGTAAATGTATGTATGTATGTACTATGAGTGATGTATGTGTATGTTGTATGTATATGTATGCATGCATGCATGCATAGCATGCGATTGCTATGCATGCATGTTGTATGGTATGTAGTGTATATGTATGTATGTATGTATGTAGTATGTATTATGTCATGTATGTATGTGCCGTGCGTGCGTGCGTATCATGTTTGTGCGTGCGTGCGTATCAATGTATGTGCGTGCCGTGCGTGTCAATGTTGTGGGCGTGGCGTGCGTATCAATGTTTTGCGTGCGTGCGTGTCAATGTTTGTTGCGGCGTGTCGTATCAATGTTTTTGCGGCGTTGCGTATCAATGTTTGTGCGTGCGTGCGTAGTGCAATGTGTTGTGTCGGCTGCAGTGGAATGTGATCGTGCGTGCGTGGAATATCAAATGTTGTGTGGCGTGCGTGAGTAATCCAATGTTTGTGCGTGACAGTGGTATCAAATCGTATGTGCGTGCGTGCTTATCATGTATGTGCGTGCGTGGAGTAATCAATGTTTGTGGGCTGCGTGGTATCAATGTTTGTGCGTGCGTGTCGTATCAATGTCATGTGCGTGCTGAGTACAATGTTTGCGTGCGTGCTGCTGCGTCGCTCGATCTATGTAATGTGTGCGTGCGTGAGTAATCAATGTGTTGTGTGCGTGCGTGCCTATCTAATGTTTGTGCGTGCGTGCGTATCAAATGTATGTGCGTGCGTGAGTATATCAATGTTTGTGCGTGCCGTGAGTAATGCATGTTGTGCGTGCGTGCGTATCAATGTAGTATGTATGTATGGTGCGTGCGTGGCGTATCAATGTATGTGGCGTGGCAGTGAGTATAGTCAATGTTTGTGCGTGCGTGAGTAGTCAATGTTTGTGCGTCGCGGCGTATGCAATGTTGCAATGTGCGTGCGGTGAGTAATCAAATGTTTGTGGCGTGCGTGAGTATGCAATGTATTGCGTGGCGTGCGTATCAAGTGTGGCTGTGCGTGAGTATATCCAATGTTGTGCGGTGCGTGAGTTCAATGTTTGTGGCGTCGCCGTGCGTATCAATGTATGTGCGTGCGTGAGTATATCAATGTTTTGTGCGTGGCGTTAGTATATCAATGTTTGCGTGCGTGAGTATATCATGTTTGTTGGCGTGCGTGAGTATCAATGTTGTGGGCGTGCGTGGCGTATGCAATGTATGTGCGTGCGTGCAGATAATCAATGTTTGTGTGGCGTGCGTAGAGTATCATGTTCATGTGCGTGCGTGCGTATCATGTATGTGGCGTGCGTGAGTATATCAATGTTTGTGGCGTGCTGTGAGGTATCAATGTTTGTGCGTGCGTGCGTATCAATGTATTGTGCGTGCGTGAGTATACAATGTTTTTGTGCGTGCGTGAGTATGCAAATGTCTTGTGCGTGGCGTGGGCGTATCAAATGTAGTGCGTGCGTGAGTATATCAATGTTTGTGCGTGCGTGAGTAATATCAATGTTTGTGCGTGGCGTGAGTATGCAATGTATGTGACGTGCGTGCGTATGCAATGTATGTGCGTGCGTGAGTATAGTGCACTGTTTGTGCGTGCGTGAAGTATAATGTGTTGTGGCGTGCCGGTGCGTATCTGTATGTATGTATGTATGTGCGTGGCGTGCGTGCGTAATCATGTTTTTTGGCGTGGCGTGCGTATCAATGTTTGTGCGTGCGTGGCGTATGCAATGTTTTGTGCGTGCGTGCGTATCAATGTATGTGCGTGCGTGCGTATCATGTATTGGCGTGCCGTGCGTATCAATGTTTGTGCGTGCGTGCGTATCATGTTTGTGCGTCGTGCTACATGTTTGGTGCGTGCGTGAGTATATCATGTAGTGTGCGTGCCGTGTCGTATCAATAGTTTTGTGGCGGGCGTGAGTATCAATGTTTGTGCGTGCGTGAGAAAATGTTTGTGCGTGCGTGCGTATCAATGTTGTGGCGTGGCGTGAGTATCAATGTTGTGCGTGCGTCGTATCAATGTATGTACGTGCGTGAGTATATCAAGTATGTACGTGCGTGCGTATATCAATGTATGTGCGTGGCCGTGTCGTATCAATGTTGTGGCGTGCGTGCGTATCTATGTTTGTGCGTACGTGCGTAGTCAATGTTTGTGCGTGCGTGAGTATCAATGTTTTTGCGTGCGTGCCGTATCAATGTTATGTGCATGGCGTGCGTATCAATGTTGTGCGTGCGTGCATGCGTATCAATGTTGTGCGTGCGTTGAAGGTATTCAATGTTTTTTTGCGTGCGTGCGTATGCACTGTATGTGCATGCGTGGCGTATCAATGTTTGTGCGTGCGTACGTGGCGTATCAAATGTTTGTGCGTGCGTGAGTAATCAATGGTTTTGTGCGTGCGTGCGTAAAATGTAATGTGCATGGCGTGCGTATCAATAGTTTGTGCGTGCGTGCGTATCAATGTTTGTGCGTGCGTGCGTATCAATGTTTGTGCGTGCGTGAGTATATCAATTGTTTTGTGCGTGCGTGCAAGTATCAATGCTTTGTGCGTGCGTGGGGCGTGTAAAATGTTTTGTGCGTGGCGTGGGCGTATCAATGTATGTGGTGGCGTGCATGCGTAATAATCGTTTGTGGCGTGCGTGGGCGATCAATTGTTTGTTGCGGGCGGTGAGTATATCAATGTATGTGCGTGCGTGCGTATCAATGTTTGTGCGTGCGTGAGTATATCAATGTTTGTGCGTGCGTGAGTATCAATGTTTGTGGCGTGCGTGCGTATCAATGTTTGTGCTGGCGTGAGTATCAATGTTTTGTGCGTGGCGTGCGATCATGTATGTACGTGCGTGAGTCATATCAAATGTATGTGCGTGCGTGCGTATCAATGTTTGTGCGTGGCGTGAGTATTCACTTTTTGCGTGCGTGCGTATCAATGTATGTGCATGCGTGGCGTATGCAATGTTTGTGCGTGCGTGCATGCGTATCAATGTTTTGTGCGTGCGTGATATCAATGTTTTTGCGTGCGTGCTGTATCAAATGTATGTGCAATGCGTGGCGTATCATATGTTTGTGCGTGCGTCACGTGCGTATCAATGTTTGTGCGTGCGTGAGTATCATGTTGTGCGTGCGTGAAGTATCAATGTTTTTGCGTGCGTGGCGATCAATGTATGTGCGTGCGTGAGTTGCAATGTTTGTGCGTGCGTGCGTATCAATGTTTGTGCGTGCGTGAGTATGCAAATGTTTTTGCGTGGCGTGCGTAATCAAGTATGTGCATGCGTGGCGTATCAATGTTTGTGCGGTGCGTGCATGCGTATCAGATGTTTGTGCGTGGCGTGAGTATCAATGTTTTTGCGTGCGTGCGTATCATGTATGGTGCATGCGTGCGGGTATCAATGTTTGTGGCGTGCGTACGTGCGTATCAATTGTTTTGTGCGTGCGCTGAAGTATGCATGTTTTTGCGTGCGTGCGTATTACAATGTATGTGCATGCCGTGCGTACCAATGTTTGTGCGTAGCGTGCGTATCAATGTTTGTGCGTGCGTGCGTATCAATGTTTTGTGCGTGCGTGCGTATCAATGTATGTGGCATGCGTGGCGTATCAAATGTTTGTGCGTGCGTGGCGTATCAATTTATGTGCGTGGCGTGCGTATCAATGCCTTTTGCGTGCGTGAGTATATCAAATGTTTGTGGCGTGCGTGAGTATATCAATGTTTGTGCGTGCGTGCGTATCAATTGTATG